GCTTGCTCAAAATGATAATAACCCCTTTTTATTCAATCGTCGAGCTTGAAGGAGTTAATTCAATGTAATATTTTTTAAGAAACATTCAAATTAATGAAAAAAAAAATTACCTATTGTTATAGTTGAATGTGAAAGGCATTTATTGTTCAAAAAGAAAATCGTTCTTTACTATGCAGTATCTATTTATTTAGTCTCTAAATTAGACTCTCTTCATAAAGAGAGCCTGTTCACTTATCACTTATATTTCTGTTTCTATTTCTGTCTTTTTTTGTCATATTATAGATGTACTAAAATACATCAAAAAAATTTAAGAACCTAAACTTTATTTATCCTAATAAATAAAAACCTTTAATCTTTTTTTTAGTAATTAGTGAAATTTGATGAAAAAAGATACTTAATTGAAATTCACCTTTCCAATTCGAAATAATAAATGAGATTTGGATTTTCTTTAAAATAAATATTTTTTTTTCACCAGTATCTTGGTCATATTATTTGATCATTTGACCAATTCTAACTTATTAATTTGAATATGTGAAGTGTTTGGAAAAGGTTCAGAATAATTAATTCTATTTTAGTTTTATATATCTTTATTTATTATTATTATTTTATTTTTGATTGACTGATTCTTTTAAAATTAAAAAGAGATAAGAGTCAATGAATCATAAACAAGAAAGAATTAATTATTATTAATTAAATAAAAATAATAAGATTTTTTTATGGAACATACATATCAATATTTATGGATTCTATCTTTCGTTACACTTCCAGTCCCTATGTTAATAGGAATGGGACTTCTACTTTTTCCGATGTCAACAAAAAAACTTCGCCGTATATGGGCTTTTCCGAGTGTTTTATTGTTAAGTATAGTTATGGTTTTTTCGACCGATCTGTTTATTCAGCAAATAAATAGTAGTTCCATTTATCAATATGTATGGTCTTGGACCATCAACAATGATTTTTCCTTAGAGTTCGGGCACTTGATTGACCCACTTACTTCTATTTTGTTAATATTAATTACTACGGTTGGGATTTTGGTTCTTGTTTATAGTGACAGTTATATGTCTCATGATCAAGGCTATTTGAGATTTTTTGTTTATATGAGTTTTTTCAATACTTCAATGTTGGGATTAGTTACCAGTTCGAATTTAATACAAATTTATATTTTTTGGGAATTGGTTGGAATGTGCTCTTACCTATTAATAGGTTTTTGGTTCACACGACCTATTGTATCCAATGCTTGTCAAAAAGCATTCGTAACTAATCGTGTAGGCGATTTTGGTTTATTATTAGGAATTTTAGGTCTTTATTGGATAACAGGCAGTTTAGAATTTCAGGATTTGTTTGAAATATTCAATAACTTGATTTATAATAATGAGGTTCATTTTTTATTTGTTACCTTGTGTGCTTTCCTATTATTTTCCGGTGCAATTGCTAAATCGGCGCAATTCCCCCTTCATGTGTGGTTACCGGATGCAATGGAAGGACCTACCCCTATTTCGGCTCTAATACATGCTGCTACTATGGTAGCAGCGGGAATTTTTCTTGTAGCTCGATTTCTTCCTCTTTTCGTAGTTATACCTTACATAATGAAGCTAATAGCTTTGATAGGTATAATAACAGTACTATTAGGAGCTACTTTAGCTTTTGCTCAAAAAGATATTAAGAGAGGTTTAGCCTATTCTACAATGTCTCAATTGGGTTATACGATGTTAGCTTTAGGTATGGGCTCTTATCGAGCCGCTTTATTTCATTTGATTACTCATGCTTATTCGAAAGCATTGTTGTTCTTAGGATCTGGATCCATTATTCATTCAATGGAAGTTATTGTTGGCTATTCTCCAGATAAGAGTCAAAATATGGTTCTTATGGGTGGTTTAACAAAACATGTTCCAATTACAAAAATTGCTTTTTTATTAGGAACCCTTTCTCTTTGTGGTATTCCACCTCTCGCCTGTTTTTGGTCCAAAGATGAAATTCTTAATGATAGTTGGTCGTATTCACCTATTTTCGCAATAATAGCTTTTTCTACAGCAGGATTAACTGCATTTTATATGTTTCGAATTTATTTACTTACTTTTGAAGGGCATTTAAATATTTATTTTCAAAATTATAGTGGTAAAAAAAACAGTGCATTCTATTCAATATCTTTATGGGGTAAAGAGGGATCAAAAATGCTTAAAAAAAAATTCGTTTATTACCTTTATTAACAATAAATAATAATGAAAGGGCTTC